TGCAGTGGGAAACCAAAGTGTTCCCTTCCAAAAGGTTCCTGTGTTTCTAGACAGTGGGTTTAGGGCCTTAGACAAAATTTTATCTCAGGACATCAGGACAGGCTACATTGGCTACAAACTGTAACCATTAGGCAATAGCGTTACCACTCCACTTTAAACTTAATAAAGGCTTTGAGTGTTAATTGCATGTGATGCTTATAGCTCTGAATATTTGTTCCCACCCTGGGAGAGTCTCCTGATTGGTAACAATTGCTGCCCCTCACCCGCCCATGGTCTCCTGGAGGGGAGGGGTCCTTGCTCTGACCCATCCTTGTCCTCTGGTTTCCACGCAGGGCACAGTCCCAGTTACTGCAGGGTTAGGTGCTCACTCAGTGTTGGGTGCTTGGTGACTACAATTCATGAGAAACTCTGCAAGGAAGATCTGCTCCAAATTAAAAGTTCAAGAAAAAAAAAAACCAACTTTGAAATAGTATCATTGGCTCTGTTATGTATCTTCTGTGCTTCACAATATTGAACAAAGTTGTGTGTCCTACTTTAGTAAAAATAGATGTTTATTCAAGGTATTGATTTTCTGGAAAATCTGATTTCATCATTTTTCTGTAATGAATGAGATCACTCTCCTTATCCTCCCAGATGTGTGTTATAGTCTCCAGCGCTGATAACCCTAATCGAGGGTGAAAGTGGTTCAATAATCTATGGTGCTCACGGCCGGTGTATGAATAGCTGCAAACAATACTGTGGGCGGGCGTGGGAAGGTTTTCCCAGCCGTGCGTGAGGGCTCATCAGGCGGAAGGAGAAGAGATCAGCTGGAAGGAGAGACAAGAAGGCAAAGATGTTCCACCCAAAGGCCTCCTGTCCCCAAAGACACCTGTGGCCCCTGCAGAAACGCAGCGTGGCGGGGCAACCGCGGGTCCGAGAGGGGCAGAACGTTCACAACTGGGGAGCAAGCCTCAGCTCTCTCCAAAGACCCAGAACTGTGACTCAATCTCGAAGTAAAGTGGGAATACCAGGAACTTCATGGACTCTCACAAAACATGGGGTTCCTCAGAGGCAAACACCAGGAGCCTCCCCTCTCACCCTGTCAGGTGGATTCCCACGGGGACACGGCGAGGCGAACTGGACCAGAAACCCACCGTGGAACTGCAGAGTGTCCACGGGAGTGAAATGCTCAGGATCCGTGCCAGCCACTGTGGTCCACACGCCGCGCCCAGGTGTCATAAGGCGGATGGAATTGCTCTTTTTTTTTCCAAACAGCCTCAATCTCATCATTTTTGAACCTGGGGTGGGGGAACAAAAGCTTTCAATGATTTCTGTGTTTCTGCAGAGAGGTTTCCCTCCGCATCTTGGTGGTTGTCCCACCGGCCTGCTGCCTCCCGCACAAGCCCCCAGTGCCTCCTCAGGGCACTCCTGGGGAGCCCCCCACGCACTCGCAGCCCTCACCCCGCCTTCCCCACAGGAGCCTGTGCGCCACCCCCACACCCCCAGGTAGGTGATGCAGCCCGGTCACCTTTGGGTCCATGGCCCTGGGCACCGCAGCAGAGTGTCTGCTGTCATAGGGGAGTATTTGCAGGTGGCAAGGGGCTGCTTGGCATCTAAACAATGTCCTTAGAGCCCTGGTCTGGCTAAAGAAGAGTATCACAGGGCTTCGGACGCCCTAAGGACTTTGTGTAAATAGTTCTTTTTCTTGTGATTCCCAGGACGTTAGGTGAGCAGAGCCAGGAAGCACAGTGCAGATACAGCCAGAAGCATCTTCCTTAATCAAATTCGAGGTGCTAGTAATTATCCATATTATTAAAGCAAATCCAATTTTCCTTATGTTGTTGACAGGATTAGTGTCGGGAGGTCGCTACTTCCTCACGTGTAATGGCTCAAACCACACAGAAATTTCAGCCCAAGCGACATCATCAAATGTCTTCTGAGCTTTCACTGCCCGGAGGTGTCTGCTTCAAAGGCGGGGGGAGAAGCCTCCTGCCGCCCCGCCCAACTGGCAGGGACCGCGATGGGTGCTCTTGCTGGAGCGGTGGCTTTGGTCAGGGGTGGGCACTCCGTGGGGTCTCCATAGCAACGGTGGCGCTGTGGCCTTCTGCCACTCGGCGGCGAGGGGGCAGGACATCTGCCTGCAGAGCAGGAGGGCAGGGGGGAGCTGCTGCTACCGCCATTGCCAGGGAAGGGTCTGGGGCTCGGCGGCGCCTGGCAACACCCACGCCAGCTCTGTCTGTCACAAAGCGGCAGGTGCGAATGATGCAGAGTCCTGCACCTCTAGAGTCCAAACCCCACGTGAAAGTCCACAGTGGGTATTTGGAAGTGCCAGTGTTTGCTCCTTTGTGCCTCTTCTCAGGGGATTGGATCGGGAAACAGGTTATTGTAGTAGTTCTGGCCAGAACAAAGACCCATGCATTCGTGACATTAAACAAACTTAAACATTTTTTTAAAAAAATATGAATTTCCTGGATCATCCTTTCATGTTTTTCAGGTGTGTGTGTGAGCGTGTCTACAATTACCAAAGGAGCCTTTACGAACCACAATGCATTTCTGATAAAACATTTTAGAAATATGTTTGCTGTCAGTAAATTTTGTAAGTTTTCTTTATATATACAAACCCAGCACATTCCAGATTTAAAGTAAATCATTTATATATTGATATATTTTTAGGTTTTAGAAATTTCCCCAAGGCACAGCGAGATTTAGGTGTGAAAACCCAATGTCTGACAAAATAAAAGAAAACCTGAAGCTGAGGCAGTTTTTAAGGCATATACAAATTGAAATAGCACTTTCTTTTGGCTCAATAAATTAATTTCAGTGTGTTAGAACAACATGAGACTTTTGCCAGCTAATCCATTCACGTGGGCTCCTCCCTCAGGGCTGATCACCTCTTCCTAAGCCCCACCTCCCAACACTGTTGCACTGGAAATTAAGTTTCCAACATTTGAGTGTGGGGTACACATTCAAACCCCAGCAATAGTTTATATAGGGTTCGCTCGTGATGTTGTACATTTTATGGGTTTTGAAAAACCTACACTCTACCACTGTAGCGTCATATGGAGTTCAGCTGCCCCCAAATTCTCTGTGCTCTGTCTGTTCATCTCCCTTTCTCTCCCCCAGTCCTGGTGACACTGATCTTTTTACTGTCTCAGTAGTTCTACCCCTTTCCAGAAAGTCATATGGCTGGAATCACACAGTCTGTCGCCTTTTCAGACTGGCTTCCTTCACCAAGTCATACACATTAAGTTTCCTCCATGTCTTTTCGTAGCTTGATAGCTCATTTCTTTTTAGCACTGAATAACATTGATGCCATTTATGTCTTTCTGTATCACAGTTTATTTACCCATTTTCCTGCTGGAAGACACCTTGGTAGCTTCTAAGTTTTGGCAATTGTGAATAAAATCACTGTAGACTTTGCACGAAGGTTTTTGTGTAGATACCAGTTTACAGATCTTTTGGGAAAGTACCAAGGAGCACAATTTTTGGGTCACGTGGTAAGAATGTTTAGTTTTGTAAGAAGCCACCAGACTGTCTTCCAAAGTGGCTGCAGCATGCTGTCTTCCCGCCAGCAGTCACTGGGCGTTCCCGTTGCTCCCCATCCCTGCCAGTATTTCACGCTGTCAGGCTCTGGGTTTTGCACCATTGGAACGTGTGTGTAGTGGTCTCTCATCGTTTGCATTTCCTCCTAAGCCTTTCAAACTAGTGTTTTTTTTTTCCTCTTTTCTAAATGTATCCCTTTAAATCCCTGGGACTTCCCTCTGCTGTTCTTGCTCCCTGACCCCGCTGGCTGTCTGCCTGGAAGATGATGCTGAGTAGGGAGCCTGGTCCCTGACCCCGGACCACCCTCTCTGCACGGCTCACCCATCACCGCAGCAGGGACTGTCAGGAAACTAAGCCTGTTGCCATCCCAGCGTGCGTGGTAAGGTGAGCGTGCAGAGAGGAGGTGAATCTGGAATGAAACTCTGCATTCCCACCTTTAAGAGGCAGAGCTGCTTCCTGCGGCTCCTGCATGATGACTTATCACCCCCTTCTCCCCTCTCCTGCCCTCTCCTGCTCACCTGCACCTGAGGGAGCTCCAGTAGGCTTTCCAAAGGCACCCGCGCCTGCCCTGCCTGCCCCAGGGGCCTGCTGGAGGTCATGGTCTTGACACACTTTCCTAAATGCTTCAGATAAGAGAGGTAGAAAAAAAAAACCTCAAGGCTAAATTGCAACTCATTTGTTCTCAGCTTGGAACACTTATATCTGTGCCGGGCGATTAGGCTTAATAGGATCGCCCCTTGCAGAGGGCAGGGCTGACTGCAGGTGTCCGGAGGTGCCTGGGTGGAGGATGTGGATGCTTTGTTTCCCTCCTGGCATCGGCCTCTTCATTCCAGAGTGCCCAAAAGGCAGCCCCTGGGGATGACCTCCCCGCTGACCTTGGCCTCCCTTCTGCAGCCACTTATGGCAGAACACAGCAGGACGGCGGCTCGAGGGGGGCTGGGAGCACTTGGAGTGCAGCTGATGGGGGAGACAGGCTGTGAGGTTTGCCCAAGGCCTCCACCCAAGCCTCAGGTTCCAGAGCTCAAGGGCGTTACAGATGCAGGGCCTGGGGTCAGCAGTCTGTGTCAGAGACAAGGCGACACCCGGGGAAGGGAGGATAAAGACCCACATACCTGCCCGTTGGAGGTTCAGTGCCATTGGGCTGACTCAGATCCTTGCGAGGCCACGGCTGAGACCTCTGAGCGCAGACGGCCTCTAAGGGACAACCTGCCCTGCGGGTGGAGAGCCCAGGGCAGAGACTCAGCCTGGGAAAGGGCTGGTTCTGGCACTTCCCCCGGCCCTGCCCTGTGCAAGGGCTTCGGATAAATGACCGAGCCAAGCGTGGGAAGCGAAATAGAGGCGGGACGGGAGAGCCCAGGGGGGCTCCCTGCTCGGTGGCCACGCAGAGCGGCGGGGGCCAAGGGTCTACTTCCCCTTCCTGCCCCTTCTGATGCATCCTCGTCCTTTTGCAAGTTTCTGAGGTTTTTTCCATTTCTCAGGGCACACAGGAGCTTTAACTCGATGACAAGACTGAATCAGCTGGGAACGAGCGTTGTTGTGAGTGAGGGTTCTGGAAGGGGAAGGAATGCGCCTCTGAGCCACAGCGGACTGGGTTTGTCTTTCCCAGGGCAAGTGGGCCGGGCCTCGGTACTTGGGGGCAAGGATCGGGACAGGGCCTGTGTGGACACCCCAGCTGTAGAATGTGTCCCTTGGTCACAAATGCCTGGGTGCAAATGACCACCGCACACCCTCCCCCCGTCCCTGCCACTCTTCCCGCTTTCTCGCTGATGGTAACCGCCATGCTGGTGGCCGAGGTGGCCCAGGTGGGAAGACCTGGGAAGTCAGGGGCCCCAGTGTGAGCGCTGCCGCCGCCCAGGCCCCCAGGTGCAGGGCCGCACCCCTCCCCAGGCTTGGGCTCCTCACCTGGCTGGGCCCTGCCCGTCCTGCCTGCTTGGTGCAGGGAGAGGAGAGCAGGCCTGTAAAGCCCCTTTCTGATAGGAGACTCACCTGCGTGCAGGTCCTGCAGGTCGTTATCACCTTACTCCCTCCTGCCCGGGATGGTGCTGTGACAGGCGGAGCGAGGATTCCTGCTATGAGCACTCGGGGTCTGGCCTATTCACAAGCCCAGGTGGGAGGTGGTTGCCCCTGAGGACTCGAGTTACTCGGTTGGTCCCTGGGCTGGCTTTCCTGGAGCGTGTGGATGGGCCTGTGGTGGGCTTCTCCTGCCCCCGCGGAAGCTTCCAGCAACACCCTTATTTACGCCTCACGAGTTCGGTTTTAGACAGGGCTGAATTTATCTTGCTCATGCCTCTCTCTCGGTGACAGGATTTAATGAAGAGACATCTCGAGGCAGCGTCTGACTCCTGAGTCCCGAGACAAGAATAATAGCTTTACAAAATCACTTTCTAAAACAAATTCTGAACTGCAATTTACTTTACTTAATGAAAAGAAACCAAAAAGCACGGCCTTGCTGCTTGGCTGGGTATTTCCTTTCAACGTGTCGCAGCTCGTACACTTCAGCGGCCCCGGGCCCTAAGCCGAGAGCTCTTGGATCTCCACGCGGTGCCTGCGCTGTGCGCGACAACACGCTGCCGGCCGCGGCGGGAATTCCAGCCGGGAACTCCAGCCCCGGCTCAGGGGGTCTAAGCGGAGCGCTGAGCGAGGCGTGGGCACACGGCCCCTGCCCGGCCTTCTCGGCCCTCACAACGCGCCGAGCTCCTGGTCATCTGCGACCCGAGCCAGGGCTTTCCAGCAGACTCGATCCACGGTGGTGATGCCGGAGTGCAGATGTGCCCCGGACGCAGGCGGCGTGAAGGCCGGGGGTCGAAGGGCACGGAACAGAGGGGCGCAGCTTCGGTTTCCCCCAGGGAACGTCTCCTCCGACACGCGTGTGTCACCGCTGGCGTGATGGGGGAGGGGGTGCTCAGGCCCGGCGGGTGCTCAGCGCTGCCCCCCTGGAACCCACAGTCACTCCTGGGAGTCAAGGGTCGTGACCCGAACATTGCAGAAGTGCTCCAGGTAACCAAAAACGTGTGCACCCCCTTAATATTTCTTTGTACAAAAGAATCGGCCTGGTTACCTGGTGGTTCGTGTTGTTACACCCGGCCTCGTACCCAAGAGCTCACCTAAGCGTCCGCTTCCTGCTCTCCTGTCTCGGTCCGAATTTTCCGTCGACGCTATTGGGTGACCGCCTGGGCCCGGGACACCGACTGTCGGGTGACCCAGTTGTGTCGTGTTCGCCCTGTGGAGCTCGGGTGGCCCAGAGCGGGGAGGGCCTCTGAGCTGGGCTTTCCTCTGCTTGGCACCGCCACTCTTAGTTACGAGCGTCGAGGTGAGACTACTTGGAAATAAAAACACGTTACCCCGGCTCCCAGGCAGACTGGGCCACACTGCACTTCCTTGTCAGCACCGTGCGGGTAACGGCCTAGGATTCCGTCTTCCGTGTAGCGCAGCTGCGGCCATGCCCCGGGAGCTGCTTCTGTGCTCCGGAGGAGGGTGCACGCGTGGGGAGGCCCTTCTCCACTGTGTGCTCCATTCAACCCCGCGCTCCTGCTGGACGCGGGGAAGAGAAGCAAGTCCCAGCAGGTCGGCGCGAGTGAGGTGGCGCTGGTGGGGGGCGTCTCGAGACAGTCTGTTTGCGACTTGGCTGCTGGGGAGTCTTCCCGGCCCCTGTGCAGACGCCCCCATCTCTTCTCTGGGTCCCTGGAGCACACTTTGCTCCCGGGCGCTGCACACGTGGCTTCTGGCATGTTGGTGTTTACCTGCCTGACGCCACCTCCTGGTTTACCGCCTGATTTACCTGCCTGGTTTACTGCCTCCTGGGAGGACAGACGTCCCATTTCAGCCTTTGATCCTCTGCCCCACGCACGGTGCTTGTGGTAGGCGGACTGTGGCTCTCAAAGACAAAGACGCCCACATCCCCGTCTCTGAAAACCATGCGTTTGTTTGTTGCCTTTCGTGGGAAAAGGGACTTTGCGGATGTGAGGAAATGAAGTCTTGAGAGGGAGAGAGCACGCTGAATGTGTCCTTTTAAGAGGAGGCAGGTCCACTTAGGTGCTGCTCAGTTAATACCAGTTTGCTGGTGAGCACATGTGGTGCTTGTGTTTCCATTCTTGGGATACTTCACTTAGTAGACTGGGTTCCGGCTCTATCCAGGAAAATGCAAGGGGTGCTATGTCACCGTTGTTTCTTAGGGCTGAATAGTACACTCCAAGGTATACATATACCACATTTTAGCAGTCCACTCATGTATTGATGAGCACTTGATAAGTTATAACGATTGTGCATTTAATTATCTCAGTTTCTAAGTGGCTAAAGGGGAGGAAGAGGTCATGGAAACCTGTTGAATATTGTAGTTGTTATCTAATAAGGCAAACGATAAAGCATATCTAAAGACAAAAAAAAAATAAAATGAGGTTATTTTTTGCAGGTTAAAGGCAGAAAAGGAAACCTGGTGACAGAACCAGCACTTGCTGGGGAGGAGGGACATGCCCTGGAGGTGCAGGGCGGGCCTCAGCCAGAAATGCTGCTTCCTAAGGGCCTTGGGCAGGAGCGCAGCCCCGGGACACCTGGGCTGTGGACTTCTGACCTCCAAGACGGGGAGAGAATAAATTTGTTTTTCTTAAGCCGCTGAGCTGGCCGTATTTGTTGCAGCCGGAAGAGGAAACGAACGCAGTTTCACCCGGCCCTTACCGGGTACCGAGAGTGTTTACCGCAAGACAGCCAGGGCTGCGTGAAATCCATTTCGGGGTGAGCACCAACAACCTCCCCTGAGTCCCCCCTCTCCCCACCCCGCCGAAATGAAGGCCCCGGACAGCCTTCGCTCCAGGGGGCTGAATGCTCCCGTGCGTGGAGCGAGGCTGGCCGCGACCAGGCCCCGACCACCGCCGCGCCGCGCAGCTACTAAGTGGGGACTCAGGGCTCCTTTCATGAAGTCTTCATGATGTGTTTAAAGTAAAAAACGGTGACTATGTCACCCCATCATCTTTTTCAAAGGTGCAGGGAAGGGTAAGAAGAAAGAGGAGCAGAGCAGTGCTTCCTGTCTTTGAAGGCACCGTTTTTTCTGAGCACTCGAATTCTCCGCGGAAGACATAACAGGCACCTCTAGTTTAAAGGCTGCTTTGTAGCTTTATGTTTCTTTTGTCCTTTGTGTTTTATATCTCAGCATGTCCTTTCTTTGTGCTCAGCGTGTTGCTTTCATTTCAATTAACGAGATGCCAAGTGCATCAGGAGGGAGGCTTCGGGTGGGAGTGGGGTGTCCTGAACGAGGGCCTGGGAGCCCCTGGCAGCGTGACCTGGTGCCCAGTTCCCCGTCTGGGTCATAGTCTCTCCCGTAGGACGAGGCCCGGGTGAGACAAGCCCCAGGGATGCTTCCTTTCGAATCCCGGTGCTTCCCCGGCCGTTCTGAGAGCTAATGTAATGGGATGCTCTTCAGTTCTGCGCAGCTGGAGATTTCCGACCAAAAAGTCTGCAGAGGCACGCTGACCTTCCCCGGGTTTTTTTCTTTTGAGAAAAAAACAAAACAAATAAGTTTCTAAACACGTGAATAAGCCACCGAAAGACCACCATTCATCATTCTGATTGAAACCTTTTAAACTGCGTAATTGTGCTCGGCTTTTCCTGGTTACCGTAATTAAGTAGCTTTTGGGGCCGCAGTGATTAACTGCAGGCTTGATGGAGTAGGATGCATTTGTCTTCAGGTGTCTGCTTTTTCGGGTTTTACATTTATCTCAACTCTCTACGCGGAGTGGATCGGAGAGGGTGCCGGTGCCGCAGGAATGACAATTATTGCAGCCTTAATTTCATCTCCAATTAGCGAGCTGTGATGAAGCTCATATTTTCCCTTTAAATGTGCTGATTTTCTCTCTTTTTCACTTAATGCAAAAGCTCACCGCAGGGCTGCTCCTCATTGATCTGTGCTTCAGAATGAAATCTACAACCCCATAAATACCATTTTTTTTTAAAAAAAGGCTTAATGTATGGCTTCTTTAAAGATTTATGAGGTTCTGTAACTAGATTTTGTATAAAGAAAGCACAGATCCTAAATCTGATGCTCGTAATCAGATCAGAGGGGCTGATTCATTGGCTTTTTGGTGCTTTATAGAAAGTCGATAAATACAGTTCTCCGACCTGGGTGAGGCTGAAGGCATGTTGGTTCTCCATCAAGCTCAAATGCACATTAAGGGTAAGATTTCTTGTCGAAATGATTCAGGAAATGCATTAATTCAATAACCTTCTCGGACAGTCCCTGGGATAACTCCTCCTCTCTCTGTGAACACTGTGTAACCCCATTGGCGTTCCCGGCCCGAGAGTGCCGTCTGCAATTCCACAGGCCAAGGAATTGTGTGGAGTCCCTTCACGGTGAGTCGTAAAGGGAGAGACGTAGGAATAGTCGCTTGCGGATGGCAGAAGCAGCCTAGGACAGCATGCTGGTCCCGATGGCATAAACAGGTTACGATGAGACCTGAGAATGGTCTGCTGCAGTGAGTATGAGGTGGACATAGTCACCCTGTGACGTGGCCCCCAGGTGCGGGGCAACCAGGGAGCGGAGGGTGAAAAGGAGGAGTGGCTGCCAAGGGGCTGCCCGTGGGGGTGGCAATACAAAGGGCTTTCTTTGTTCCTTGCTGTAAGACGATGCCAGGCTCAAGGACGTGGCAGCAGGCCGGCGGCCAGGCACCCGGGCTCCGCTGTCTGGCTCTGAGGCACTTGTGTTGGAAGGCGGAGGGCCGTGGGGAACGGGGCCCAGGTGACACAGGGCTTCTCTGCCGTCCGCATCTGGCCGAGAGGGGACCTAGGGCCACGCACCCCACCTGCGCTGGGATCTCCGGAGGCCCCCAGCCACACGGGGTCTCTGGAATGAGCCGTGGTGCCAGGCAGCATTTTGGGTTGGT